CGTGTGTGTCGGGCGTGCCGTGTGTGGGCGTGCGTGTGTGTGGGCGTGCGTGTGTGTGGCATGCGTGTGTGTGGGCGTGCGTGGTGTGTGGGCGTGCGTGTGTGTGGGCGTGTGCGTGTGTGTGGGTGTGCGTGTGTGTGGGGTGTGCGTGTGTGTGGGTGTGCGTGTGTGTGGGCGTGCGTGTTGTGTGGGGTGTGCTTGTGTGTTTGTGTGCATATATACACATATCTATATAAACTAAAAAACAAATTTTACAAAGCACTTGTACATATAACCCATATATCATAAAGAAAAACAAAAGTTCAAAATGTCTGCAACCTACATCAACTACACAAAATGGTTAAAACCAAACTGCAATAGCACACTAGCATATACAAAGATGAAAAAAGAGAGAGCACCTTTCTGAGCCTGCCTTTCAATCTGTGTCCAATCCTTTCCACACCTTCCCTTCATCTTTAGGTTATTTACCTTACTAAGTAAAGTTAGAAATGATTCTTTAATGTTTCAATGTTTCCCTTTTATCATGCACTAATGTACATGAAATGGGACTGTACTACTTCTTGTTATTTAGTACTTATTCTAGTAGTAATCTACCAACTTATAAGACCATATCCACACATACACATACAGAACACACAAACACAAAAAAAATAAATAATTAAAATGAAATAAATATACCACCCACAAGAAGTTTTTCACTCATCTAGTGTGTGAACAATGATCTAGGAAAAGTTATCCACTTACCATTCTGATGCGTAACAAATCCTCTTCCAACCGTTGCACTGTATTATCTCGTTCTGCGAGCACATCACACAGCTGTTCTATACGGCCTTCTAGCTGCCCTCTCTCCAAGCGGAGGCCTTCAACCTTGAGTGCGGAAAATATTTATGAATGGTCCACTTGGATTTGTAAGATATACATACTCCAGAATATAATCTGAACTAACTGTCATGTAGACTTGTATGACAAACTTATCAAGGAGAGGAATACAAGGTTAAGGGAACCCTACCACTTCTAAAATGCCAGAAATGCAAATTATTGGCGTTTTTATATCCACTACCTATGAACTTTCTCTCATGCACAAGAATCTCCTCCACACAACTTTCTGGCAAAGTTTTACCCAAATGAATTCTCCTACAGCGCTGAACCAATTATAGCTAAAGAATGTAGTGAAAATGAGGACACTTGGCTAACCACCTGTCTAGAATTGCCATTTTTACTCTACCATACATTGGTTATTGCAAAACAAGAATATTTTGAGTTCACCCCATCGAATTTAGATGCAATTTCATTGACATTCAAAGTAAACAAATACAAAATAGACAAGAATGTGAACTTTGAAATGCCAATCTTAGTTCAGTCAACAATTTTTAAGCCATGAAGATCAGACGGTGGTTATTTCATTTGGAAAAACAGTTTCTATTTTTTCCATAAAAGGAGAAAATACATTTTTTTTTCTTTTTTTTTTTGTACAGAAATGTACATGTTTAGAGACCAGCAAGTTATAAGAAAAAAATAGCCAAGACATGGACTCTCATAAACTTATTTTCTTAATAAAATAAGACGATCATCATCTCTAGCTTGAGCTAGACCTTGCAGAGCGCTTTTTTTGTTTGTAATAACTCAGAAACTAATTTACAGATTTGTAAAAAAAATAATAATAACAAATAAATAAATAAATTAAAATTTAAATAAAAATTTCAGATCTTCATCTAACAAAAAATCATCATCATCATCATCATCATACCAACATGAATATCAATAACAATAATAATAACACAAATATCAATATCAAGAATAGTAACAAAACAATAAGAGCTAAGGGTTGTTTTATGCAATTCCAGCAAACAAAAGCCTTTCTTTACCTGTGCATCTTTTTCACCCCCATTCACATTTGGATAACCATTTTCAATTAACTTTGAAGGCTTGTGCTTCTTCACTCTTTCTTGAAAATCTGGAATTAGAGAATTACACTTGTATTAATAACTCACACGCATATTCATGACCAACTACAGTAGAAACATTCAGTTCTACAATTACCTACAAAAAAATATGAGGGAAATATATGGAGCACTGAACAACTTACCAGAGAGTTTCACAAGTTTTCTTCCGTCACTGGTTATGAGGGAGCCCAAGCTGTGCCAGTCTTGGAGGGAGAAGTTGCTTCCTCCTTCCTCACAGAACTTTTGTAGCCGCTCGTATGGCACGAAAACTTCCTCTTCATTAAGTAGCTGACTGTAGAGATTCCTGGTTGTAGATTTAGATTCTCTCACCTCCTGCTGCAATTCCTGAGGTTCTGGCACCACATCAAGTATTGTTGGAAGTGAAAGAGGCTCAAAGCCAGGCAGTGAAGGAGACCTGGTTGAACTGGTATTTAGGCTCACGTACTTGTCTTGACCGAACCCTGAGAGTCTTGCAGGCCTAGCATTCAGACTAAGGAATTCATCATTCTTGAAATAAAACTGCCCCTTGGGGGAGCCCACCACCACAGGCAGGCTTGCCCGTCTGTAGGAGTCTGCCAGAGACTTAGCATAGGAACTTTTGAAGTTTCTGGTGGGTGATGCTGTGAGAGATTTATCTTTTAGGAACGAAATATCTGTGGCAGCTTCAAACTTTTCCCTTTTCTCTTCTTCCTCCTCCTCCTCCTCCTTATTAATGCCCTTAAGGTGGTCGAGCCCATTTCTGCCTGACGACGGAAAATCCTCGCCATCTGCCCCACTGTCACTGTCAAACTCTATTGGGCTTAACCGAAAGACCTTACTCTCTGAGAAAGGTGACGACTGCTGGTTGCGCTCAGCAGAGCACGCCTTGTGGGTGCTCTCTTCAGACGACATCTCGTCATATTGCTCAGATGACTCATCCTGGTGCTCATCTACATCCATCCTGCATTATGGTTGTGCTGAAGGGAAAAAGGGAGAAGTCAGAATTACATTCAGATTTTCTCCATCTGGAAAGCCCTATTCTCCGATAGTAGCGGCTTCATTTATATGGTAAAGATTTTAGGCATTGGCACCTATAATGAAGGTAAACCTTCAAAATTTTAATATTTTTATAAAATCTTAGCAAAATAAAAAGCTTTTAGGTGCTATATGTCGCTTGCAAACTACCGATCGAGCCGGGCACAAAACAGGGAAACTGCCGGTGCGAGCCAACAAGCCCGTGCATACGTCAATTGCCAAAATTTTTTAACCGTTGGCGATGGGTTAATATTTTCATCTAAACCTATATAAATATTTTGAGTTCCACTGGTAAAGCTAAAATCACTTCTCAATATCTCTGAGATTGTCTGCAGAAATCTACTGTTTCATTTTCTTTTTCTCAGCAAAAGGCATTCCCATATGTTTAAAACAAAACTTAATTTAAATTCACTATATAACCCTTCATTAAATTCAAATGGAGCACATCGTTCCTTACTTAATAACTCTATCAAAGAATAACAAAAGTCGGAAGTGGCCTATAAATGTATTATTATAGACCATTACCGAGCTCCACCTTTCTTGCACTATTGATATCACTGTTATAGCTTATTATTTTACAAAATGATAGCTCTGTAATTGTGTCTTGGTAGATAATTGTTTTAATCACAGTCATGAATTTTCAAAAGACCTAAAAATCTACAACTGTTAGCAAGAGTTAAGATCTATGTAATTTAAACATCAATTTCTATTTCATGCAAAAAATAAATAAATAAATAACTAAAAATAAAAAATAAAATGAAAAAAGTAACATTTCAAACACATCAGATGAAAAAATTTAAAAAGTAACCTGAAACATTACAATGATTTTCAGTTTATTTTTTGGTAATGTTTCCTTTCTATCCCAGTGTACATGTCACTCTGTTAGTGTTTATGTTAAATTTTGATAAGCTTTTGTCTTGAAAATCTCTTCCATGACTACCTAAGGCAGTAGATTTCTCAGGAGAGAAGGAACCCTGAAAAAGTAATATTTCAATTCACTGGATCCAGGTGCCTCATATGTGGACCAAAGTTAGACTTTCGTGAGTTGTGACTCTCCTTGGTGTGCCTTGCAAGCCCAGCCCACAAAGACTCATGCACAGTATCGGGATTCCTTGCCTCCTATTTGCTATGCTATTAGCTTTTAATTTGCATACATTGTTTTATCATTTTTCAAGGTCTATATGTCATTTGTTGTGCTGTTTAAAGAGGGTAATAGACTGTCTTCAATAAAAATAACAATAAGTTAGTGTTACCTATCTAATCTCTTTATATTTTCATGATATTTAATATTCCATAAAACACCCTGCACTACCAGTCAAGGCAGCAAGAAAAGGATCCTTCACCTTGAAATTGTGGCTTGAAGATGGTGTATTCCACCCTCTTTTGTTGATGGCGATAATGCAAGAGCCCCTTCCTAAAGGCCCATGAAGTGTAATTTCCCATGACCCCCGCCCTTAGCCAAATATTTCCAAACAACACATTCTCATCACCTGCCAAATCAGTCCATGACAACACTTTCCTGTCACCCACCAGTCAGTAGATTTTTTTTCCTGATATGACATCACCTTCACTCAGATCCAACAGGTTAATGGATCTTCAGAACATGCTATCTGTACTCACACGTTTTATTTTTGTACTTATTTTAGTATATGTATTCAGCTGCAATATCTCTACACAAAATTATATCTTTTTGGTTACATTTTGAAAGATTTTGCTGAGTGTTGAGTGTCATTCATATTATCATTTGTATTACTTTCAAAAAACTGAAAAAAAGACAATGATAAACAATGCATGATAACTGAGCAGCTTCCAGTTAAAAAAAATATTTTTATTTAATCATTATCTTATCAAAACCATGATTTTGATGCACCAATACTGGCAAAACAATAAATGAAAAAGTTACCATATATACATATTGCTACATATACTTCAGTGTTTAGCATTTTACAATAAGCTAACCCTGTTGGACCTAGGTGACATGACAGTCATGTCATGAAAAAATCTGGCTGAGGACTGGATGAATGGAAAAAAATTGGCAAGAAGGTGAGGTGACAGGAATGTGCCGTCATTAAAAATTTTGCTAAAGGCGGGGGTGCGAGGGAAGACTCAACATGAGTGCATAAAGCTCTTGGAGGAAGATTAGACATTTCCCTAAGTAAACAAAGGTGGAATGTACTATTTACAAACCATGGCTGGAAGAGCACAGGCTCTAAGAAGGACATTATTTCCATGCTTAGGATCCTATTCCTGCATGTATGACACAAAGAACACAATGTTGTTGTTACTGCACTGAGTTGTAGACTACCTAGAGAGATAATATAGAATCTGGGCAAGAAAAACAGTCTACTGCCATATTGCTACAGCATATCAAATGACAAATATAGGCCTTGGATAATGCCCACCCACAAAAAAAAGGAACGCTTATCCTGTAAAAAAGATAATAGCAATCTGAAGGAGAGACAAGGGGTCTTGATAAAGCACATGAGTACTCCTGTATCCCAGGATATCAAGCCACCACCTGGAGAATGACCACTCAAGTAAGCCTTGGCCTAATGCCAGGATATTGGTCCACAAACAGCCTACAACTGGATTCAAAGGGTTACACCAAATTTTTGCCCATATCTACCTATGTATTTAATACTTAATTTTGAGATCATCAGTAATATCGTATTCCCATTCAAATCAACCGAAGTGATACATATACTCCAATAATATAGTTTTGCAATAACAACATAGATTAAAGTAAATGGCAAAAATAGTTCATTCTAACTTAAACAAAACACAACGTACTTAAAGTTCAAAAGATTATAGAATGTATCAAATTAAACCAAACCAAACTGACCCTAATCAAATGTAACCCAACTTGATATAAACTAAAGCAACCCAGGGTAAAGTATCTTAACAAGCACGTAAACTAACATAGACATTGCCATCTTATAGAGCATAAGAAACAGAATCATAAACAACACAACTACAGCTGTTGTGCCACCATATTTACTGCAAAATGATGAAAATATCCGGTACATATCAGCACTTACTCATTCTTAATGTTCATTGACAGAAAGTTCTAATAAAGGCAAGGGGGGGGGGTTGTACAGCGGGGCTTGTCTCATCTACGGAATAAATAGAGAGTAAGAAAGGCAAGATTTGGGTTTTTTGGCTCGCATGATTCCCTGGTTTTAGGACTTTGTCTCTGTAGGGTGCAACGCTCTCTGTAACAAATACTACTGTGAAACCTATACAGAAAAATTAATCTAAGGTTAAAAAAAAAACAACTATATTCACCTGCACCCGTCTCTACAAAATGAAACCATAATATCACAAAATAAGAAGAAAGTAATGCTTTACTGTAAGATTATTCTGAAACAGGCTAGATAATCTATGCTCTTTGATGATAACTTTAGCCCTTATCAACAAAGGCAAGTAATTTTAACAGGATCAAAAGGGATAGAGGAACTCTCTAAAATGATTATCACAAAGACGATATAAACTAACACTAATACAGATGAAAAAAATAATCTGGCCACCACATTTTGCCCTCCGGCAGTGCTAACAAATTGCCACCATGTATTGTCTGGCTACACAGAGCTAAAAATCTCCTTAGTAATTTACTTCTGATTAACAATCATTCCTGAAAATACATGGCTCAGGTTAGTTAGCCATTGTTGCTGCCATGGCAAAAGGTCCTCTCCTGAATCCTATACAAGAAGCTGTGGGATTTACCATGTAGGTTTTATACTTAAAATATATACATAAGACAACCACACACACAGACACAGACACACATACATGCGCACACACACACACAGCGCGCACGCATGCACACACACACACACACACACACACACACACACACACACACACACACACACACACACACACACACAACACACACAACACACACACACACTAAAAAAAAAAATCTTTTCTTATTTACATTTACAGCTGTTGCATTTTGTACACGTGTCAATTTAATCACAATAAAAACACAGTCATACAGCAATAACGATAGTATGTCTACATTTTTGGGTAATTCTTTGCAATACAAATGCATTTGTCAGAAACAAATTCCTCATTTATATATCAAAAAATTTAATCAACAGTCTAAATTGCCATGACTGGGAATGTCGTTCGGGTAGTGCCAAGAGGATGGTTGTTGGACGGCTCTAATCCTTAACTCGCCCCGGCAAACATTATCTTCACCCCGATATGCACAGCAAGACAAAGCTGACGCTCGGAGTACCAAGTTGACTTAATCTGTGAGTGGCGGTTTCCTTTACTTTTACTGTTCATGTTAGCAGATTTTTTTCTGTACCGATGACTGTAACTTTTGATCATCTACAAGAATGTCAGTTTCCGTTTTTCCTGGCTTAGCACATTCATGCCACAAAATTAACCCTCTTTTATATACAGTTTCATGTGACATACAAACTCATTAAAAAATTCTATTCAACTCATTTGACACACAATAAAAGGAACTGGAGACTCAAAAGACATTTCATACTATCTTGCGAAGTGTTTCACAGGTATTCAGTTTGCTTAAAACTACTTTTGGTATTCCTTAACACTGTTTGGGTTTTGAAGAAATCTTTACATCCAATACTGGCCATAATAAGAGTGGTCTACACATCTGTTAAGCTTCAGTCATTACAAACATCACTTTACTATGTATTTTTGGCAAGGTAGACCTTGTACATTTGTCAAAGAAGGAACCAGTCTAAGCTCTTGTCTTGCCAGAATAAATGTGGCAGTGGTACGTTGGTTTTGCGTGAGTGCATAGAACAGAGGTCACAGCAATCGAAGAATACCAATTCATTATCAAAGACATTATTACAATGGACATCAGACTGCAAGTGTCACATAAGCTTTGTTTACAACTTTTCTCCATTAACACTGAGCATGAAATAGCTCACGCTATAACAGGCTTGGCAGATGCCAACCGATTACCTAAATTTGCATATGCTGAATATAATGAAGTGCATGAAAACTTGGCCTATAAATCTTGATTAATCTTTACAGTATGGATGCACTAATATAGGGCAAAATGAAGATGTTCTTGTAGAGGATAAAAAGTTGTAGTCATTGGTACAAGAAATCATCTGCAGACACAAATGATAAAGCCACAAATAAAGATTAGCGATTGCAGAAACTGCTGCTCACTGCACGAGTTTCAGCTCTATCATGTCGTGCATACGAGGCGACCACAAGGCAGAGCTCCCCATCAACCCTTTCTATGGATGGTACCTGAAGGGCATGACCTGTCCCGGGCGTGGAGTTGGGGGCTTAGTCTTTGGCGAGTTCCTCCATACTGTAAAGAATTACCAAAATCTTCTTTTGAGTACTATACAAAATTTCGTGAAATACCAAACGAGCACTACAGTACTATGACTAGACCAAAAGAGTTAATGTTTTGGTTACGATCTTGTTACATCAACTCTTTCCTTCAAGACAAATGGCAAAATTAATTCACTACAGCCGTTAGCCCCATTGAACCTTGAAACACAGAAAAACGTTGTATCTTCACTATGGAACAAGCACTACAACCCCCTGCAGACAGCAACACAAAATCAACTCACTTTCAAACAGACGAAACTTGTGGGACAAAAACATAAAAAAAAACGAAGTTGCAAACATTAAACACAAACTCACTTCACAAACCCACCAGACCACACTTCAAAACAAACATCCCTTAGTTTGTCCTCAAAGAACTCGCGGAATAAGTCACAAACACCTTTAGAATCCCGCAAATAAGGCAGATCAGCCGCTGAGCACCTAGAGGGAGAGCGCTCGCTGTGTCGACATGATTTGTTGTGGTCAAGTTTCTCCCTCGAATCACTAACCACAAACTCAATTAAATCTCCCAAATTCGGCTCTGATTCTCCACGGGAAGCTTATCATCACACTCTCATCACATTTGCCCTGGTTCTCGTCACCTGTGTGGGGTGCGTGCGGGCGCGTGAGGGTTGTGAGGGAGTGAATGAGGAGAGGAAGTGAGGTTCCTCTGCTCGGGCCGCGGGGACACCTCCTCCTCCTCCTCCTCCTCCTCGTCCTTCCTTTCTCGCGGGTTCTTCCTTTTTATTCCATGGCGCTTTTGGCCTTCGCTTTTCCTCGGTTTGGAATACCTTTGGTGGTTTATAGGCGACGGGTTCTCGTCTTCCCTCTTCCCTTTTTATCTTTTTTTCTCTTTCTTTTGGAGTGACAAGTAGTTTTGAGCTGTGATAAGGTTGGTGTCTCTTGGTAGAGTGGGATAGGACGTGTTTAGAAACGGTGGCTTGTGGAACTTTCTGTGAGTCATCTAATTACGTGATGGATGGAATACACTCTTAACACTTTTTGTTAAATGGATGCTGTATGCACGGCATGATTACGGTCCCCCCCCCCCCGCCACGCGTCACCTCGAACTCAATTCTCTGTTTATCTAATTATTCATTCCATTCCCGTTGTATGTTTGCATCATATATATATATATATATATATATATATATATATATATATATATATATATATATGTATGTATGTATGTATGGATGGATGGATCTATCTATCTATCTATTACTATCTATCTATCTATCTATCTATCTATCTATCTATCTATCTATCTATCTATCTATCTATGTATGTATGTATGTATGTATGTATGTATCTATCTATATATATTATTCATATATATAGATAGATAGATATAGATATAGATATAGATATATACATATATATATATATATACACACACACACACACACACACACACACACTATATATATATATATATATATATATATATATATATATATATATATTATATATAATGTATATATGTATGTATGTATGGATATATATAACATATGTATGTGTATATCTATGTGTGTGTGTATATATATATAATATATATATATATATATATATATATATA